AAAGTGGTGTGTATGATGCTATAACCTTGGTGCTTGCATTGTGTTTCCCGCTTGTTCTAATAATTAGTCAATTGGTCTTGGAGTTGGAATTGGTGCTACTACTCCTTTGTTACACGTACACACGGTTCCTTAATGTGTTGAGCACTGATGTCAGGAATGAATAATATGAATTTGATATAGTATGTATAAGTGGTGTGCAAAAATGTTGATTTCCTAAATGTAATCCGCGTCCAACACCACGTGTTGTTGTACGTTATTCAAGACTTTAAGTGTTAGAGAGAAACTTATTATATACTTTGGATCACAAGATCTAAGGATCTTGGATCATCAACTATACTTATGTACTGTTAAACTAAAGTGTCTTGGTTTAATTCCAAGCAATTGAGATGAGAAACAGTCAGTCTCGTATATATATATAGTTCTTGGACCATATTTATATTTGAAAAGCATCCGGTAAGAAGTTTGCCCACACATGTATTGACAGAGAAGAAGATTCTTGGACCATATATATAGAATTAATGTTAGTTAGTTCATCTGGAAGGCATTATTATTCCGTTTCAAAAATCTGTATCCAATACAAGCTATATACTGCAAGCAATAGAGGGGAAAATAAATCAGATGCGTATGTAAAACAGAACTGTATATAGAGATGCAAGGCTATTTGCTGGCTCTTGTCCTCTCTCTTCTGCCCCAGGCTCCAGTCAACGTTTGGGGGAGCATGCAGAGTGTGGACCAGCTGCCAGGGCCTTGCACCCTGTTCGTTTGGGTTTATTTGGCTGATAAACCATGGCTGAAAGTACCATTAGCTGATTTGGTGTGAGAGAAAAATATTGTTCGTTGGCTGAAAAAATACGGCTTATAAGCTAAATAAACCCAAGCGAACAGGGTGTTGATAGATGTTTGCAAAGACGACCGGCTGGGTCCATCAGCAGATCAGATCATGATATGGCGACACGTCACCTTGTCGCCTTGGTGCTCAAGGAGAGGAGAAAAATGATATGACCAAAACACCACGCACAGAGTGGCACAGCTGAGGACGAGTGATTATAGTTCACTGCAGAAGAAACGAAGAAGGTATACTTGCATTGACACGGAGCAACAAGAAAAAAAAAAGATAAACTGTGGCATAATGCATGCACAAGATATGATGCCTGAGCGGGCCGTATGTCGTACGGAGTATGTACGCTGCTGCGTCGTCGAACGTGCAATCGATCACATACAGCAAACAGGACATATGTAGAGCTGAAGAACGCACCGCCGAATCTACCGCCGACCACTGTCCACAAAACGCGGAAATTTTGCCCCCAAGAGCGTATGCCCTCGTACGCGCCACCGTTAGATACATGCGGAGATGCGTGCGCATCCAACAGCGCGCGCACGAGGGCACACGTGCTCTTAAGGGCAAAAACAATATTACCCAATTAGAGAAGTACGTAGCAAATGCTGACGGATCGAGTTTTAGCGCGAACCGTCAGGTACATACGTGTCTCGTACTACTACACATGCATGCATCCGGTTCATCGGCTGGGAGTTTTTTTAAAAAGAAAAGTTTCATTACTTATACAGAATCATTACAATTAGTTTGCAGACAACGCTGCAAGAAGCTAGAGGAACAAGGCAACCGAAATTATTTTGGCTCGTCGCCGAAGCATGTTGAGCACAGAGGTGAGCTCTGCAAAATTCACTGATCTCATCGACAAGGAGTTGCACCGTGCGTGGAATACATATCTAGGGCCCTTTTGTAGGGCGTCTATGCCTTCGGCTCTAGCTCCTAGGCCATTGCAATCGGTACTTAGATTACTATAGCACAGAGGAAAAAAATACATTTGACTTCGCCTAAAATGAACTATATATAAAAGAGGAATCAAGAGAGCCGTAAATACAGTCCTACGATGCTACAGCCCGGAGCCGGAGCCAAGGAGTCCCGCCCACCTGGGGCCACCACCTCCATGGGAGTTTGTGTGCTCCTCGGGTGGATTTCTCGCCGAGCTCGAACTACAACGGCAAGATGGAGGAAAGGAAAGGGAGGGGAGGGAGAGGAGAGGGCGAGGCGCGCCGTGCGAGGAAGGCACGTGATAGGAGCCGAAGCCTTGCGACAGGCCGCTCTCCGCCAGCCACCAGCGCCATTACAACATGTTGAACACCCGATCTACTTTTAGAACATCCAGATGAAACATCTGCAACATATGTCTGAAGGCAGATGAAACATTTAAAACATGCTTCTGAAATACTTGCAAAAAACACATAAAACACTTAAAAACATTTGCAACATGTACGCAACATCCAACATTTGCAACATGTACGCAACATCCAGATAAAACATTTGTAATATACGTGTAAAACATATGAAACTTATAGATAAACACACTTACTACGTACATCAAAAAAATAGATAAAATATTGGGGACAGATGTTTCCAACATAATTGTACAACCATTGCAATATATGCAACATTCCAAGCTACTTTTGTAACATCCATACGAAACCCTTGCAACATACCTCTAAAACAACTGAAGCACTCAAAACATACATTTCCACACGTGCTTTCAGCGGAACGTCACCTTGCTTCTTGGATGAATGGAGCTCGTCCTTGTGGATCTCGACGCTGGCATGAGGCTCAATGCCACGGAGTGCTCAGAGATCGTCGGTGCGGAGCTCGGCGGCGGCACGGACCTCTGCAGTGGCCGCGACAAGCGGACGGAGTGCGGCCGCGACGGACGTGCGACGTTGGCTGGGTCCATGAATGAATGAGTAGACGTGGCTCGTTGGGACGGCTGCGGCCGCGGAGGAGGACCGTGTCCTCGACGTCGTCCTCCCCGGCCAGCGACGGCGGCGTCGGCGAGGAGTCCTCTTCGGCCGCCGAGGACTCCCCGCCGTTCGAACTGGACGTGTTCAATGACATGAACTGGGACTTGTACTATGCGAGCTTGGCGCTGGCGATGCTCGTGGAGCCACCGCCCACAGTCACCACCGCGTTCTGCGACGACGGCGTCGCCGAAGCGCCACTCTGGAGCTACTAGCTAGGACTAAGGCCGCTGTACTTCAGTTTGGGAAAAACAGAGCACACACGGACACAAGCATTAAGCATGGGTCGCCAGGACAACAGTCCGCAGAGGCGACACGGCCCCCAGTCCGCCACGACCACCTACATACGCGGCCACCAGTACTGTAGCCTGTATAGCACGGAGCTGATCTGAACCCAATTGAAGCCCACACAAGCCGTGGCAAATAGGCCCCTACAGCAATTTGCAACAGTACTGGTGGTCGATACCTCTCTCACTCTTTGCCAACCAAGCAGATACAGTCCTCAGCTTAATTAGAGTACACTTAGCCTGCTGGAGACCCTAAAATAAGACCGCAAAGTGAGAGTCCCGAACAACCGTTGATGTTTGTTAACAAACGATCGATCCAAAGGAGATATGGATCTTCAATTCGTCTCAGCGATAACAATGCGGGTCCTGGTGGAGTTCTCGATGGTATATTTGGTCTTGCCTCGCTTCCCTGACAGTCGTCCGATGAACGCGATAGATGCTCCCCTCGGAGCGTCTTCACATCCTCTGACCTCAAACGGTGGATCAGCCTACAGGCTACAGGTAGGTCATCGAGCTAGGCGTAGCATCGGCAATATCACTCAAATCCAAGCATAAACCGTGTACAAAGTCGGCGCATTTTCTCTGAAGGCTGCTCACATCAGGCGTGTCCTGCCTTGTTTCCAGTTCCACACTTATTGACTCAGGGCTTTGTTCGGTTGATCCCCCATCGAATCCCTTTGATTTGGAGGTTAACTGAACAAGGCCTGAATAAGAGAAGGGGTTTTTGTTGATGGATGAGTCTTCTCTGCATTACTGCAGAGGGACTTGCAGTGGCTGGCAGGTGAGCCTTAAAGGTAAATGAAAGATGACAATTCATTCAGAGAACAACAGATCCTACTGTCAACTGTCATGCATATCTATGAAAATCTTGGCCATACAACACTTAGAGAAGAAAATGAGGCAGGCGGCGGTTCATTCAGAGAACAATAACCAGGATATCAAGGCTTGCAAGCATTGGGGATAGTATCACCTGAACCAAAAAAAAGGGGGAGAACACAGGAATTTCTTTGAGGCAAAGAATCATAACTCATGACTGACCACAGAAATTTAACAAAGCAAAGTTTTTTCATAGTTCAAGATATGAGATCCTGCTGCCATATGCGTACCAGTGAATATCAAATAAGAACTGAGGATATTTGTGGACAAGTAAGCTATCCCTTGAACCAATGATGAGGAGTTTCTTTTTTTCATATAAATTCCGCCATTTATGATTTTGTAAGGACTGTGCCTACTCTAGGACTTCGATATAAAACTTAAATGCTTACTGTGAAGCATATGTTACTGTTCACAGATCACAGATAATTTTTTTAGTTTTTAGATTTTCGATTGAAATATAAAAAGAACATATTAATGAATTTATAAAAATGATAAATAAAATAAAGATTAGGAACTGATTTTGGTTTGTGGACGAAAGTTGTCACAGATTATTGGGATATATATAAACAGATCCAAAAGGTTGTCCCGTTGCAAGTCCAATAGATGATGGGCTTTCCAATTTTAGCCCATGTTTCTGACAATAAAACACAATTTCACAAGATATATGAATTTCCAGTGAGTTTTTGTTCCAGAAGCAGACTGGATTTAAAACCCAAATATATATGAATTTCGCGTATGCTTCCAGAAGTATTATCTTGATGGTTTACTACCTCTGCTTCACAAGCCTTGTCAGACTGTAAAATCATATTACCAAAGCATTCTTCATTAACCCTATTTTTTGCAATGAAAATGCAAGCTACACGGTCAGCCATGTGCTGTCTGCTCACGAGCAAGAGCACAGACGGAGACATAAACGTACTGATGTCTGATACACACTTGAGTTATAGAGCAAGCCTAATTTACATGTACTTATTGGAAGGATTTTTATCCATTCTGCTTCTCGTACACTACGGTCTTCTGCCTTCAGCTGCTTCAGTAACTGATGACGATGAGCAGCCCAATCGCCGTGACGATGATGGTCGACGGGACCCCGAACCGCAGATGGCTCCAGAAGGTGAGGTTGTAGCCGAAGAACTGGGCCCGCCTGGCCTGCTCGCAGACAATCAGATTCGCGGCAGAACCTAGGAGGGTGAGGTTCCCAGCCACGGTGCTGACCCATGCAAGGATGAGCCATGCTTTCCTCTCTGAGCCATGAGAAATCGCAGCAGCTGATGCAGCCACTCTTGTACCGAGTAGTAGGACTGAAAAACAAGAGAAAAAAAAAACAGGCATAAGATGGACAGAACCAATAATTAGTTACTCTCCCAAACTTCTGAAACACGGATCAAAAGAAAATTAGTTTGTTCGGTTCAGTATACTATATAGCTCGCTGGTTAGGACAAAACAAATACCTTTAAAACCTATTTCTGTGAGAAGAGCATAGTGTTTCAAGATTATTTTCTGCAGAAATATTCTCAGGATTGCATACTTTACTGTACAGAAATTATTCTGCTGTGGAGTTCAAGATATATTTCAGTTTTTAAAGTCAGTGATAAACCAGCCCTCTTGAGGCTCCAAACAAGAATCATTGTGGCAATTCAGTTTAATTAAGTCTAGGAAATTTAACATCTTCTCTTGAAGCTATCCAATTTTCATCCTATGTACACAAGATAAGAGTAATGTTTCCAATTCCTTAATTTAATCATGCTTGTCATGAATAAAGAACAGAGGCCAGATGGCCGCATTGAGCACACAACCTCTCAAAATACCGTTGTCATGAATTTTGCAAACAGAAGAGCATATATGTATATAAAGTACTAAATGGTTATACATGGTCATATGTGCAAGAAAAATTACCTGTAGGAACATTAGAGGCCACATTTGAAAGGATAAGAATCACCACAGCAAGAAGAGCAACACCTTTAGCACTATCGATTCGTGAATATGGTTCCACTAACTCCCATAGTGTGTTCGGTATGCCCGTTTTGTTGAAGCCATCAACAGTGATAAACATCCCACAGAAAAAGATCAGCAGTGAATATGACACCTGCAAGTCATCAAAGTACAAGATGATGATGATCATCGTTCGCACTAAGTAAATATCCACCTGTTATTACGTGTTAATCAAAATTTGAGGAGCATACCTTCTCAAGACAAGCCTGTGCATCCGTAAAATCAAGTGCGAGAAGAACAAGAGCCGCAGTGATTGCAGTCCAGGACATGTTCAGTCCCATTAGAAGTGCAATGAGCATACCAAGAGTGATAAGATAAACAGCAGTCTTCCACACAAGTATTTTCCATCTCTTCTCTGCAACTTCAGTTTCTTTCTCCTTTTCCCCGTTGATCTCTGGGGAGGAGGGTGGCAAATCCTCTATTATCACACTCCTTTGCTGGCTAGCAGTTCTTGTGAACTTCCTTGAGGATGCACCTTCATCTTTCCGATCAGGAACAGTCGAGACCTCTACCATCTCATGCGACATGCTCGATGCCCGCAGAGACTTGATCGCAAGCTGAATGTCAGCCTCAGAATTGACGCTTCTGCTTCTCAGGTTCTCACTCACACTAGATCTGACACTGTTGCTCCTGATGATTGGTTCACTTATGCAATCCACATCATCTGGATTCAGAGAAGAAACATGTGACATTCTAGCCGGTGTGAACCGATGAGAAATAACCTCATCGTCGGCAACCACCTCTGGTCCTGTGGGTTGCCCACCCTCCTGATCCTTCTCCACAGACAAGTATTTCCAGAAGTACAAAAGGAGGATAGCAGCATTTGTCAGAACCCCAACAATCATAGCTGGGAAAACTCCCAGCAAGAACTGGCCAAATGAGATCCCACTCTCCACAGCTATGACAAGGTTCTGAGGGTTGCCGATCGGCGTCGCAGCAGAGCCGATGTTTGAGCTAGTGGCAAGGGCCAGAAGGAAAGGCTGTGGTGGCAGGTTGTTTTGTCTAGCAACCTTGAGGATGAACTCAGTGAGGACAACACAGCATGTGTCATTGGTGAAAAGCGCGCTGGCAAACGCAGACACGATGCAGACTCGGAAGAGCAGGTCCTTGCTGCCTCTGCTCTTCCACGAGAGCAGGTTCCCGAGGTACTTAAACATGTCAGCCCTCTCTAGGAAGATGCTGACGACCATTGTCCCAAAGAGCAGGCCGATGATCGGGAGGTCAATCGCGGCATACGCGTCCTCGGGGGAGATGACGCGGAACAGGACCATTAGCATAGCACCAAGGAGGGACCCAGCCGTCCGCCCAACAGGCATGAACGGGACGGTGGGGAAGACGGCCATCACCCAGAAAATCCCAAACGCGATACATCCCAGCACTACTTTGGAGGTCCCTGCCAACGCCATATTAGCAAATCCTTCTCTTCCTCTACAACTAAAACTCTTTTAACAATTGCACTTCAAGAACCTGTCACGACTCACAAATTAAAGAGAGTACAGAACAACCCCCCAAATACCAAGGACGGTCAGACTGGGCTCACGAGAAGGATCCCTGCTGGAATGAACCACCTCCTCGGCCCCAACTTAACTCAGGATCCTGCAAAATTGGAGGACAAAGAAACATTGGATATGAACAAAGGAGCTTAAAAGTATAGTATTAAGAGAGACAAATATAAGATATGCGGTCAGACTGGGCTCACGAGAAGGATCCCTGCTGGAATGAACCACCTCCTCGGCCCCAACTTAACTCAGGATCCTGCAAAATTGGAGGACAAAGAAACCTTGGATATGAACAAAGGAGCTTAAAAGTATAGTATTAAGAGAGACAAATATAAGATATGTGCAATGATCCATTGTAAAAAAAAAAACAGAAAAAGGTTCTTGATCCCTTATATGAACTATAAACGAATTAGCAACAAACGGTGTTAGACTGCACGAAAACGGAGGACAGGACACATATTGGTATCAATCAAGCACCATCACGCCTACTCACGGTGTATCCTGCAACAATTGAAGCGAGAAAAGAACCCTTATCAATACAGAGCTTTCACGCAGTTCACAAATCCAAATAAAGCCAAAAAGGTTCCCACTGCTGCTAGCCTACTAATACTAATACTATAGGACACGCTGGTAGATACAACACTAAAACCCTACATGCCCCCAAACAAAGATTTTATTTGCCTAACCCTGGGATTCCGGGTGCGGATAAAGCCGTCTTTTGCAGTGCATAAGATGGGCTCACCAACGGCATGCACCGGTGCCGAGAACGGGTGTTTGTGTGCTAGGTTACGAATCACGATCAGACTGAGCGAGAGAAACGCGTGGCCGCGCTGGGTTTGGTTTGCTCACCTTCGAGTAGGGGATGGAGGGGAGGGCGGGTAGTCCACAGTGCTGCGAGCGCGGGCGAGGCGGCGGATCGGTGGAAGCAAGAGGTGGTGGGTGGAGGACGAAGTGGTGGTGGTCTGGGACTCTGGAGGCATGGAGACCCCGACGAGGGTGGGGGCGGCTAAATAGGGGCGCGTCGCCAATCGCCATGGCCATGGCCCATGGGAGCCGCGTGACCGTGAGCGTGTGGGGCAGGGAACATGGCAATAACTCAGCTTTTCAGTCTTTCAACGGTTGGGTCACTTGGGTGTGGGTCCCATATGCAGGTTGGTTCCAATGCGCACCCGGGCACCCCAGTGGGAGTTCCCATTTTCTGGGTGACGACGGTGGACGATTATTTTAAGTCAGGGGATTTGGTTTGTTTGCTGCTTTTTTCGAATATGCATGCAGGTTGCAATTGTCTAATCCTGGAGTAAAAAAAAAACTTTTATCCACCTACTCGGCTACTCCATCCAGTTCCAGTTGTACTTGAACGTGCTGCTATCTGTGCAGAGGATGTAGCGTTTTCAACATTTTTTTATTATTATTCTACTATCTCCACTCCTAAACCTAATTTAAAAATTTTATTTTAAGTAAGAGAAGCTAAATGTACAAATATAGTTCTGAAGAATGTATTGCACCGAAACATGCCCAATATGGACACTAGACTACTCATGGATTTTTCGCGATCTCACGTGATCAAACTATTTTCAGTTTCCTGTTACCACCATTATTTGTCACAAATTATAGCTGGGTAGTTTTGGGTTTTCTGGGTACATAGTTTTTGCTATGCTTCTAGATATACGATATGTCTAGATATATAGTAAAAATTATATATCTAAAAAAGACAAAACGATCTATAAATTGAAACAGAAGGAATATTTTTTTTAGAAAGTGTTATGAAACTAAAGACCAGGTTTTATGTGCGTGGTCAGAGTACACCTAGCATTTTCCCTTTCCCGTGTGGTGTTCGTGATTCTATTCGTGAGCAAGGGAGCTTCTTCGGTTAGAGACGGAACCGTGATTGATTTTGATGTCTCTGGCGATTTGGATGTTGCGCGTGGGAGCTTGCGACTCAATACTGTACTGTGCCCAGTTATTTATATCATGCGGCGGCGAGGAGGCTCAGGCGACGCGCTGATTTGTTTCTTCACATCCAAGAAAAAGGAAAACGCGTCCGGTTCAAGCGACAAAACTGGAGGGCAGCCGTCGGCCTCACACCCTCTTCAATTGCTTCGACATCATCCCAACAGTATATGTCCGGGCCGGGGAATAAAGGCAAAATCTTTTCTCATGGCAAGAAAAGGAGAATATTGGGATTTTCTCTGGACCCCAGTACCGCTCCTACTCGACACGTCTTCACAAGTGTAATAAGACAGTCTCCAACCAGAAACCCATATGAACACCCAAACCCAAATTGAGTAGCAAGAGACTCGAAATCAACCTCTAACAGAGTACCTATACAGGAGATCTATTTTGGGTTGCCTGAGAGGCACAACTCAAATATGGGCATCCTCTCTCCTGAAAATCCATTTGCAGAAAGGATTTTCTTTTAGGTCCTGTTGTTGGAGAAGATGTCGAATAGGTATTGAACTTTTTGCCTGTAGCGCTACCCAAATAACGAATAAGTCTTGTATTTTGGGTATTGTTGTTGGAGATAGCCTAAGTAGCTTCATAGCTCACGTATGGTTCTGTGGATACGGCCGTTGTTATTATTTGGGATGTTGGTAGGGGCTTCAACACGAACCATCAGAAGGCTATAATATCAAAGAATATATGCTACCTAGTAATTCACTATTAAAAAATCAGGGTAAATAAATTCTAGGACAAGCACATGCACTAGTGTGTACTATGCAGTATGTAGTAAACAGTACTCCCTCAGATGGCGCCTGCTCCGTGCTATTCTCTTGTGAGAACCTTTATTTTGCAGCTTCAATAATGGCAGAGGGCTGCCCATGTGTCAAAAGACTTGTGGACAGCTCACAGATCTCACGAGGGCAAAAGAAAAGGGTTTTGTTTCTACTTTCTATACTAGTGACCGTACTGGTGACCAAATAATTCAGTAGTGCTGGGAGAGCAAAGAGCACGAACGAGGTCATGTCCAGTGGAACACTGTTGGAAGGAAAAAACGGTGCAAGTGCGTGCTCAACCCACGAAGGGATAACACCGGCAAGTCGCAACCAATGCCAGGCGCTCAACTTCACATGTCTCTGCAGACTGCACTACTACTCGTGTGTAGATTTTGCAGAGAGGATAATTTACGTAATGCGGTCCTATGATTTTCTCCGTATAATTGGCTCCCCTCCATGGTATACAATGCCTAACTAGAACGCCGACAAAGTTTTGCAATTTCTTCTTATCTTAACTTGCTCCTAGTCAGAGATTGCAGAGCCGGATGGATCGAGTAGCGCCTAGTAGGAAGGCCATGAACATCGAATTTTAACCCACCTTGACAAATCGTAATAATGATGGAGATGTTGAAACAAAAACTGTTTCTCTGATATCTGAATATGAAGTGGGAAAAGCCCCAGATATTCAGAGCTGGGAGGGATCCAGTCCACTACCTAGGAAGACGATCAATGTCGTCGAGTTTAACCCCCCGCGCCATCAGACGTGATATGATATATGGTCCATCCCGTCCCGTGCCAGCGCCATCATCATGTGATGTGTTCCCACTCCCCCCATGCATCAGAATCAGACCGGGACAATTCACCCAACAAATTAAAGCGGCCGCCCCGCCGGTAGCCATCAGCCCGTCAGGCCAATGACGCGTGCCGGCGGCCGTCCGATCTGATCAGCCCGCAGAACGGCGCCCAAACCCCACCACTCCCCAGCGCGTGCCGGGCCACGTGGGCCCTCGATCGGCAGTCAGCCCAACCAGCTGATGACGACGCTGCACATGGACCCGCCGCCAGGGTCTCGAGGCGTCCGCCGCGCCGGGGCGCAAGTCCACATCGGCCATTCGGTCGCTCTTCGCCAGGTCGTTCGCCGTCGGCAGCTCGTCTGCGTTCGGTACCGCCGAGCAGCCGGACCTCCGGCGGTGCAAGTGGAGGCGCGCGGCCGTCCTACTTCGCGTCAAGGGTGGCCCGAGACCGGCGACGAGACCGCCCGCCCTACTTCGCGTCGGGGGAGGAGCACCGGCGGGGGAGGAGGAACACCGGCGGGGGGAGAAGGAGCGCCGGTGGGGGAGGAGGAGGACCACCGGCGGGGGAGGATGATGTGGAGCACCGGCGGGTGAGGAGGATGGGGAACGACGAGGAGGCGTCCTGTCAACAACGTCGCGGGCGGTGAGAGGAACTCGAGAAGAGGCTGGCTCGGGCCTGGCTCGAGTTGAACGACCGATTTGGGCGTTCAAGGCTAGCCAGGCTAAAGGGTTATGGATGGACAGCTCTAGCCAGGCTCCAACCCACTTCTAGGCAACTAAACATGTCAAAATGAGCCCCATTGAGTTCCATCCAACCAAACACACCCAAAGTGGATGGAGCGATGGGTGCTGTGCACCCACTAGGCCACCAGTCCACCACCACGGAGGAAGGGGGATCGGACGGAGACGATGGGATAAGCTGAGTTGACAGACTACGCGGACGTCTTGCGTTGGGAGATAAGATGAGACGAGACCGTGTCAGGTTTTTCCTCGCCGTCGTCGTCGCTTTGCGATGGCGAGGGACGAAAAAGCGATGGCTGCGGTGCGGTGCAGCAGCTCCGGTCGAGAGGAACAGACGGATGGGCGGATGGGCGAGAAAACCGGAAAAGGGAGGTTTTGTCGACTTGTTTTGTTTCAGGGATAAGCAATCATGTACTGTCTTCCATGTGCGTGCGGTTCCTCGCCTCAATCAAAAGTAAAAACTGCAGGTATGCACCTACAGCGTACCTAACAGCAATAATCTCGTGTTGACCAGGGTGTAAACAATGTGGTGGTTGTGATGGTGCCTACTGGCTGGCTGACTGACCGCGAGTCATGGTTTCTTCCTTCGTGATTTCCATGCCAAATTATATATTGCTTGTGTTAATAGAGCACTCCACTTGTAACCAGTGCTTGTGGG